CCGGTGTTCGAGGGAAAATAGAAAAAAAACAAGACTTCACTGTGGAAGACTTGTGCAATTATTTATTTAATTTACTTATCAAATTATTCAGAGAGAGGGCGGATGGACTGTGTAATCATCAAGGTCGCCTTCCTCTGGCCTTTTTGCCTTTTATGCCTTTCTGTCTTTTAATCTTTTTCCTGAGTGACAGCAAAGATGAGGGTAGTTTCATGTCTTTGTGGCTGTTTGTATACGGATATACAGTAAATGCGCATGTAAAAATACTTCCAAAACACCTCAGAAGAAGACCAAAAATAGTTCCTGCTCCCTCTCAAAATATCTATTACCTCATCGCTCCTCTGTAAGCATCTTAACAAAATAAAATCTCCCACTGTGCTCTGCTGAGCAATAGAAACATAAATCATCTGCCAGCTTCTTGACAGACCTGAGCTGCACACAGAAGCACACACTGTGTGTTGTTTGTTAACCACGACTGCTTCTGAAACTCACAGTTCATATTGTTCAAACGGACAGGAGGATTGTGTGTGTGTGTGTGTGTGTGTGTGTGTGTGTGTGTGTGTGTGTGTCAGAGTGTGTACCTGTCTGTCTGCAGCTAATCTAGTAAATTACCCTACCAATCAGCCTCATATTTAGTGTGAACACGCATGACTGAGTGCTCAAGGACCCCTGTGGTTTTGGTGATTCACAGTTGTTGAAAAACTGTTTTCCTGACTTTTTTATACCGTCACTGCCTGCTAACTCTTCACTCCTACTAACCAGCCAGTAGGGGCAGCAAGTTTTCCAGAAATTGACTTGAATAAAAGCATGAAGCCTTACTGTCTGTTGCAGGCCACACACTGGCCATCCAGAGATAAGTTTGGGTTTATTTTGTACTGGAGCATCTTCAGATTAATTCCATATACCTGAAATGTGATCCACTAAAGTTAGACATGATGCGAGATGTAAATCCTCATTTTTGTTATATTCACCACCTGGAGTGTTTCAGAGGTGGAGCGTTTTACCTGCCAAGAATTTGTTGATTTGGTCTTTTTTTTTCTATTTTTACACTAAGGGTAGTCTCACTCACCAGACCTTTCTCAAGAAAAGAAAGGTCTGACTGGGCTGACTCTCACTTTAAGATTGGAGAAAAAAATGCCCCGGCTGCTTGTATTTCTTTCAACCAGTCACAATTGTTCTTGGCGGTGCCTGCAAAGGTGCGCTTGCAAAAATATTGCCGGGGGAAACAGGTTTTGGTGTAACACGCCCACAAAAATATCACCTACAGGACGCGAACCATGGCAGAAAAATGGCTACATCCCCGCAAGATCAAACACCCCAAAAGGTAGTAAAGGACATGTTGAAAACTCAGCTTCACTTCAGCAGGTGGCTCGTTCAGCCCAATGAGAGGCTGATCTATGCAGCGAACTTCCGCCCAATCAGACTACACTAAGGTTGCTTTCACACCTGCCCTGTTTGGTTCGGTTCAGTGGAACTCAAGTTCATTTGCCCCTAAAGTGCGGTTCGTTTGGGCAGGTGTGAACACAGCAATCGCACTCAGGTGTGCACCTAAACAACCGGACCAAGACCTTCTTGAAGAGGTGATCTCGGTCTGGTTACAAACAAACTCTGGTACGGTTCGTTTGTGGTGAGATCGTGTTCCAACCTCAATCCAAACCAACTGCATTCGAATTACACATTGGGTTAAACATGAACATGTTAGAGTCCTGGAGGATTATTAATGTGCACCTCCTCCTGTACTGCCTGAATATGCACATTCAGCACATCCAATGCATCAAAACATTGTTTTCTAGTTGGAGCCGCGCCTCGTTTTCACACTGTATGGTTTGACTAAAATGAACAATGACAGCAATATAGTACACAATGACCAGCGCTAAATTCAACCTGCGTAGTTGGCATTAGAAAGTGTCACATTTATCTGGCAAGTGTACCTCCTGGATTTTCCCCGAATGGAAATTCTGACCAGTCAAGAGCAGCTTTCTTATGCAAGACATTTTATCTGGTCTGCTTATAAATGCTGCCATGAGAACACGAACCAACTCTAGGCAATTATGCAACTTTGTAACAAAATTAGTCCCTGATTCAGACCAAAGTGAACTCTAGGTCTGAAAGTACCCTAAGTAATTAAGTAAGCAGCTAGTGGGTTTCTTTTTTGTCTGTGCAAGGCAACTTTATTTAAATAGCAGTGACAAAGGTAATTAATTGTGTTTATTGTTATTTCCTACTTTGTTCTGCTGTAGCCTCCAGACAAAGCTAATACCATTAGAAGTCTAGTTATGAGCGACATTTATTAAAGATTTCTGGCGGATTTAGTCATTAAAAAATATACATTCATCCTCATAATTATATTGTATATATTTTATTGACACTTCTGCTGGAAATACAAGAGAGGCTGTAGGCAGCTATATTGTAACTTACAGACGTTTGGCGGAGATTTGCCCTCTCCTGAGTGCACTTTCCTAGTTTTTAAAATCAATTTTTCTTTCCTAACCTTTGCTTTTTTACTTCTCTCTAGAGAAACACACACTTGAAACTGTGTTTGTTGATGAATGGGATCATTATATGGGGATTAGAGAACATTTTTTGTTGGAGTTGATAGTGTTTGAGTTCACAGTGTAATTGTGTTGTTTATTGTCAATAGAGCAGCTTCAGGCCACTCATCAGTGAAACCAAATAAAATCATGCTCTGGGTTAGAGACTTATTCATGATCCCAAACAGTCACAGGTCTCTGTTTTTTCACAAGACAAATGTGAATGCTTACCCTTAGTGATATTCTGTGTATCACTGAAAACTTTAATCACTGTCTGATATCAGTTTATTGGTTTACAATAGACCATAGACTCTATGGCGCAGACAGTCATTGTCCCCAGAGGATGAAGCCTGTTGACCTTGGTGATTGCCCGACTTTTCCTCTAACGCCACCAGCAGGTTGACATCTGTGTTTTTTAGTGATGTGTCTTTACAAGCGTTGGATGGATTGCCGTGAAATCTGGTTCAGGCAGTCATACTCAGGATCAGTTGTAATCACTTTGGTGATTCCTAAACTTTTCCTGTAGCACCGTCATCAGGTAAAAATTTGATTTTCCCCCATACTTAAGTCTTTCTACAGATCATTGCAAAACTAATAATTGTATCACCTGCTTCAGCTGTACTTTGTGTTTAGTGCTAATTAGCAAGTGTTAGCATGCTTACACATTAAAAGAAGATGGTAAAAGTGGCAAACACAGTGCCCACTAAACATTGTCATTGTGAGCATGTTGCCATGCTGGTATTAGCATTTGGTTCAAAGCACTGCTGTGCCTAAGAATAGCCTCAAAGAGCCACAAGCGTGGCCGTAGACTTATTTATTGGCTTTTATTCCTCTGGTCATTTTAAATGCATGGCGATCTGTATTAATGTACCTGGACCCAACCATTTATCTCATTTTTCCTGTAATCGTGCACATGGGACTTGTTTTTAAATACTCGCTTGTTGGCTCGCACCTATAACTCAGCTCAATAGGAAGAACACAGATATGCATTTCATGCTGGAACATACTGTGTACCACAGAGCGACTGTAAATGCTTCCTGTGGTGTAGTGTGAGCAGTGCTGCATGCAAATCTCCACTTAATGTCTTCAGAGTAAGATGTGTCATATATCCATAATATAAAATAATACTTTAAAGTATGCACAGATTGTTTTATTCAGGCCATTAGTGTACAGTAGAAAAAACTAATGTGCTTCATACCACCAATAGGAAACAATACAAGATGTTTTTCAGGGATTTATTATGTTGCATGAGCTGTCATACTCTCATGTTTTATTTAATTATACATGATAGGTAACTTTTGTCTTGTCATTTTCTTCTGTGAAGGTGCAACATGTTGAAAACATGCTTGAAATTCGTCCAAAGAAAACAGTTGGGACATAGTCGTCTTACACAAAGCTAATTATCAGCCTTCTAATTGGACCATTCACCTCTTAATGCCCTGTTATGCCCTTATTAGGACATGGGGCCTATGAAGTGGGTCGTGCAGGATCTGTGGTGGATCACCCATTTGCTTGCACTGTGAAAATTAAAAGCCAGTGTTGTATATTTAGCTCTGGAAACAAAGACCTTAGTGTCTGTTGAGTAAATTATAGCAGACAAATGTTCCCTGTGAATAAAAATGCCCACTCTTCTGACAGTCACGTCTGCAGTGATTAATGCCTGCTGGTAGGTGATTTCAGCGTGTTTGGTACCTTAATGCGTCACATTCCAAGTCGGTGAAGACGCATTGAAGCTAAGACTGAACTTTTCCCGACCTTCAGCGAATTGTCGACGTCCCCTTGCATCGGCTGATTGATCGGCCGTCTTTTTGATTGATGTCTGTGGTTTAGAAGTGTATTATACATCTCTGAGATAAGGCTGTGTGCGCATGCATGTGTTTCCTTTATGGGCTTATCATCAAGGCTGCTCCATGAACCATAAAAAAAATGATTTAAAAAATGCAGCATTGATTTGTGCCATATTAAAATCAAGTTTAATCCAGCCTGCAAAACAAAACACTGTAGTTTAGTGCAGGCATACGATCTGATATTGACTGAAAAAAAACCCTGGTAAAAATGTTTATTTTCTCAGCAACATTGTTGTTAAGCATCTGTGTGTGTGTGTGTGTGTGTGTGTGTGTGTGTGTGTAAAAATGTGCGTAGGAGGGAGGAAGTTGGGAGTTGCGAGAGAAAGATACTGTCGCTTCTGACAGACATAAGAGGAGGGTGACTGACAGAGGTGAAATTGCTTGGTAAAGGATGTGAGGTAGCTCCCATCCCCTCTTCCTCCTTCCTCCCACTCACTTTGCCTACAGCCTCCTCTCGTTCAGCCACATAGTGTGAACTACTGTAAATGCGCTCCCTCTCTCTGTCTCTTTCATTGAGGTGATCTTTTCAGTCTATTTCCCCTGGGTAACTGTAGAATATGGGGGGGAGTAGAGTGAAATAACTCTGTTTTTCTCTTCTGCTTTTTCTCTGTGTGTGTGTTTATAGCCATGCATCAAGCCCTGGACACACTGAGTGACAGCACAAGCTCCACGACTGCCAATGACCTGGACCTCATCTTCCTTAAAGGCATCATGGAGAGCCCAGTGGTGAGAACAACTTTATACTGTAAATGCATGAGGAAATGTGTATATGTGTGTGTGCCACGCAGTAAAGGACGGTCAGAGCTTTTACTTGGATTGTGTCCAGGGATGGACGGCCTAATGGATGAGTCAATAAGAAAGGCCTTTAATGTAACTAAAGGCTAGTTATATTAAGTTAGAACCCAGTTAGTGTATCAGCTGCAAAGTTAAGGTTATTTTATGCATGCCAATTTACAATTAAAATGCAGTTTGTAAAATAGCAACGCAGTCTTGCATTTAGCCTTTTACAACATTAACATTAAAATTTGATTTCAACATCATCATTTGCATGTGCCATCTCCTGCATTAACGCTGACACGTAACGGATAACAAATCATTATGTTTTCACAGTGATTTGCATGCGTTATGAGAGGCTTTATTAAAATGATATTTCAAAATGGAAACTTAAAATTCACACCCATTATTACATTTAAAATTCAAATTTCAGCTTGCAATAATTATCCTGAAAAGACAGCTTAAATTCATCAAGTGCAATCACATTACCATGTTAATGGTCTTGCTTCATTGTTTTCTCATAAGTTAAAAATGCAAATTAAAGATATTATTGTCACTCAGAGTCATTGTGCACAGGCAGCAAAATCCAGATCAAAACCCAAATGTAAGGAGTCAAACAGGGAGCCTTTTTGCTGCTTAGTCCTCTCACTGGACCTATTGTTACCAGGCAATACTGATTTCAAAGGCTTTGAGTCCTTTCATAACCTTTGTCAGTGGTTTGATGTGTCTGAAGCCATAGACGGTTTCAAATAATGTGTGTAGCAACTGTGATGTTACCCACTAGTTTGTGGACTTCTGTTTTGCAGCCTTGAGTTTGGCGTTTTAGCTGTCACTAAGTTGTTTTTTTGGAGCCAGAAGTGACCATATTTGGACAAGAGGGTGGGGATAACCCTAATGCTAGCTGCTAGCTTAGTTAGCACAGTGCATTTACAGCTATGTTTAACTTTGACAATGCTAGTCCTAGTGCTAATTTTTGCTAGCGGAAAAACAGGTTTAAAACCATTAAAATGAAATGTACTCGCAAGAAAAATTTAATATGCAACCCATTAGGGGGGTCTTTTAGTACAGCTAAATGCTGTACAAGACTTTTTTAAGCAACCAAAATGTTGAAAACACTTAAGTAGTGACAGCTACGCCTATTGACCGAATTACCGTGAAGTTGCTCTAACAACAACAATCACTTCCGGGTAGAAAACTGGCAATTGATTACAATTATAGAGATAGGTCAAATTGTCAAACTTGTTGATTTCTGTTGTCTTTTTCAGCTGTAACTGTAACGTTTAAAGATATATAGTTCAACACAGTGGTCTGACATAAACATACAATTCTGCTTTACTTATTTTATCTACTTTGTTGCTTTGTTATCATGTTTGATATAACCATATATATAACCAAAAAACATATTTAGGAATAAAAAAACAATATTCGTGTACACTATATTTGAATATTTGCTCCGCTTTACCTTACACACTAAGTAAGACACTGCAACTCAGTAATTTATAACTTAAATAGCGATTTTTTTTTGGCAGTGGAGTCTGATGGCTTTGATATGATGGCTTCAGTTATCCGTTAGAAAAGACTATCTGACAGAAAGGTAAAGTGTTAAAAATATTCTAAATACCTATAGTGAACAATTAAACTGATATTGAAGTTTTTTGGTGGGCTAACTATTTGAGGCAACATCTGCTCAGTGCCATTAGATTTACATGTTAATTTCTGCTGTAAACTTTGGCATTTTAACATGGGTGTCTATGGGGATTGACTCAGTCTTGGAGCCAGCCTCAAGTGGCCATTCAAGGAACTGCAGTTTTCGACACTTAAATGTCGGCTTTATTTTTCAGTCCCTGAGGTTGCCATTTGATAGGAGCTAAAATCTCAAGGGCTTTGATTTTGAAGTCCAGACTTAGTGGGGACAAAGGATGGTTGCCATTAAAGATAGCTCACCTCCTCATCCCTCCAAGTTACAGAGAAGGTAGTTGAGGATGGATCTATTTTTAATAGCAGGCATAATAAAGAGAGCTGCTGATGTTGATAATGAACAAACTTAAACCCAGATAATACACACCTCTGGCTTGTGGAACTGCTGCTGGTGCTAATAGTGTGATGAACCCATGGGCTTTCTATAAGGTTGGATAAGTTCACTGAAGGACATATTGAATATGCTACTTTTTAGAGTTTTGGTCACTGTAATCATCGGAAAGGGTTTTCATTTTGATACAGAAATACTTGGAAATACTTGACATATAACAATATTTATTTGGTGGAACAACACAGAGAAAACGTCTTTCTTTTTAAGGGACTGTTAACATTTCCACTGTTTCCCAGCTGTCAGTCATTTTAACAAGGCAATGCAACATTTCTATTGCCAATCAGAGCAAAAGATTGAAATAGCAGTCAGTGAGCAGCACAGTTACCCCTTGATATGTTTGACAGGTTGACAAGTGCGGGTGGAGCAGCAGCCCCTGTGATCAATGGAGAATCCAGGAATGAATGGCAGCCATTAGGTTTTACACGTAGTCATTTATTCTAAAAAAAAAAAAAAAAAAAAGACCTGAATGCTTTAATTGAATATATCTTTATGTGGGTTATAATAATACAGAATTGAAAAAGACTCACTTGCACATTATCCATGAGATTTTTGGGGTGTAATGGTCAGAGTTGGGTATAATGCGTTACAAAGTAACACGTTAGAGTACTTTGATTACTTTTTGCAGTAACGAGTAACCGAGTTAGTTTGCTGTTTGAGTAATCAAATACTTAAGTACATTTTCAAACAAGACTTCAGTTACTTCCGTTACTTTTAGAACGCTGGTCCTTCAGGTCCGAAAGAGCAATGGCTGTCGTTTGGTTCTAATAACAGAGATAACGTTAAACCTATCAGTCTGAAAGAAGACACGGAGCTTATGGCTCGCTACGTGGTCGGAGAAATACTGCCATTGTATACGGTGGAGTCTAAATAGGTGGAGTAGGACTCGCTGACAGACATATTTCAGACTCAGGACTTGCATTATGCCTGGTACACGCTACACGCTGGTACTCACCAATTATCCCCGGTCGTCTTTCACGGCGTGTGTGATGTCATCGGGTTATTCTTGTCCAATTTTTATTACTTTCACTATTATTTGAGTCACTGTGTCTGTTCATGTGCCAGCCGACATGTTGTTGTAGTCGCCTAAAAGCGTCAGCAGATGGCAGGAGCTACATTTGAAGCGCCATACATAATCTATCAAGCTACTGTATCTTCCACAGGAAGTTCTGACAAATGTTTCAGAATAAAAGCCTATTTAGAAAATGGAGGGATTCTCTCAGCCGAGGTTATAAGGGGCTTTTAATTTGAAACAAGTGTTGAGTTTGAAATGACGGTGCGATATTTTAACTTTACAAAGACAGCGGAACAGATAAAAAGTAAATACATAAACACACATAGGGATTAATAAATAACGGACCGTCTATAATGTAGTTTGTTTCAAATGAAGCTGGGAGCCTCTGCAGTTGTGGTGAGTAAAAGCCCCGCCGCTATTTGTTAATGTTATTACTTTATGTCCGACCGTGAGGATGTACCATTGTTTGCTAGCTTGATGCTAATGACAGTAACGTTAACTCAGCGGGTTGACAAAGTGCCTCTGCTGTTTCACACCATCATTTCCCCCTTTTACTCTGTGTGGTAACATCCCTAGAGGAAATATTAAAAAAGCTGGGGTGTTGTTGTCATACAGTTGTCTACGGCAGCAGATCGTTCTGTGTTTCTACTTGTCAAAGTGACGGCTGTGATGGGAGAATTGGATCTCAGTGAAGGGCAAGTGGTCCATAACTTTAATTTTGGAGACAAAAAAATGTAGGCTTAGCGTCCTGTGGTCCATTGCCCAATAGGAAATGTAGAATACTCAAAAGTACTTTAAAAGTGCTTGAGTTACTTTTCTCAGGGAGTGACATTGGAAGTACTTTTAAAGTAATTGAGTTACTTTACTCAGGGAGTAAAGCAGTAAAGTAGCTGGTTACTTTTTTAAAAAGTAACGCAGTAACGTACTTTGATTACTTTGAAAGTAACCCTTACCCAACACTGGTAATGGTACACTAAAAAAAATGAAAAGTACAAGGTAAATGGGGACCACAGATTTTCATCAATACATATGTGGCACCTCCTACTAGTCACTGTGCATTATCCTCTACAGTGGCAGTGGAGAATATATAGAACCAGCTGCACCTTTTAGTTCAAAATAGTGATACTAAATACACACTGCTACAGCACTTGTATCACAGCACCCAAGAGGATAAAAAGGGTTGCCATACTACACAGATGTACTCAATGTACATGCATTGTTCTTTTTTGTGTCTGCAGCGTGTATATCTGTAAGATTGAAGAAGATACATTTTCAAATCCATGTTGCATTTGTGCAGATTTCTCTTGGGCAGTTGCCCAGACGTTGGATTAAAGCTCGTCCTGGATAGAAGCGAATCAGTGAAGTTATTCCAAGAACACTCAGACAGGGCTGACAAATTGTCTTTTGTTGTTTTGACTGGTCTCAAAAACTTTTCCCAGAAACAATGATAAACGCAGGTAAACAGTAAACCTATTAAAGAATATATTCACACTTTTCAGACCTTTCAGACTTATTTATTCACCCTCTGCTTCTGTCTTTGATTCTGAAAGTTTTAGATGTCTGGAAACAAAGACAAAGTTTGACATTTTTCATAGTTAAATAAAGCTTCGCTGCAAGCAGTGGTGCTGTATGAGACAAAACAGAATCTATTCCAATATGTAACACTTTTGTAGAATTCCAGTAATATCTTATAGAGCTGATTTATGTCAGTACAATCAGTTGTTTGTTACAGGTCTCGCCACAACTTCTGGACTTTGACCTGAAATCCTTAAAATTCTCTTCTAATTAGACCAGCTTGTGTATCAGATTGCTTTGCTGGATTAGACTTCAGTGGCTCAGTAGGGATTTGAT